TATCAAGGTTCTACTGTATGTGAAAGTTTAGATGGATGTTTGTTTAGAGTTTGTAGCCTAAACGGACAAACAGATCTCGATGAAATTTGGCATAGATGTAGAAGATAGTCTGAAAGAACATATAAGCATACTTGCTTTTTATTGCGCGGACGGAGTTGCGGGCGAAAGCTAGTTATAATATCATGACAATACTTTGGCCAATATTTTAATTTATTGGCAATTTTTTTGCAAAACTTCATACAGTACATAGTACATACTCTTGTTCTCATTCTGCGGGCCTCGCCACGACACCTGGTAGCAAGGTGCACACACTCTGCAGCTCGCCACCTCCTTCAGGTATTTCTTCTGTTCCTCCTCCTCCTTCCCACCCTCGGACTTCTCACTGGAAGGGAAAACACTAACATAAAATCTCCAAGCTTTACAACACACATGCATCAGCTAACTAGCTGCTAATGTGTCACCTAAATAAAATAATAATAAATTGATATAATAGTAATTATTAGTAAACTAAAAAAACAAAAGCAAGTAGCCTAAGTGTTATTTCATCTACATTTGTGTCAAATTTCATTGAAATCTGTTCAGCCATTTAGGCTACAAAATCTAACAAACATCCATCCATCTTAACTTCCGTATAATATTAATATGAAGTATTCTGCTTGAAGGAGAAGTTTATAGTATAGAGGATTTTTTTAGTGTTTAAGTGAAGGTTTAATATCAACAGATTAACAGCATAAAGTTGATCCTTAGCCTAATTTATACAAATATGCAAATTTTGTTTAAAATTATCATTTATTGTAATATTTGTGTTTTAAATAAAATATATAAAATATATATATATAAGGGAAGTTGGAACTTGAGTCATATGTAGATTTCTTGTATTTTAAGTTTAAAACGCCGTGATTTATATAGCTCTTGTATACTTTTGGATTATAAATATTGTAAGTTTGATGTTTTAAAAGTCAGTATGTATCTGTAACATTTGTATTGATATTATGTACGTTTTTTATGTTTATTTAACATGTGGGTGTTCTTGTGAATGTTTGATAAAATGAAATAATTATTTCATGTATCTAATGAATAAATAAATAAATAATGTCTAATATATGAAATATGATTTTGGTCCTGATTATGTCCTCATGTAAAAACTATGTAGGCAAAAGTTCTTCCAGTTTCAGGCTAAAATCTGTACAAATTAAAATCTGGTTTTATTCTGATTTTTTTTTAATCTTAGTAATTCTACAAATGCGAAAGTTTAGATGGATATTTGCTAGAGGTTTCTATAAAAACAGTAACTTACGGCTTCTCAAACATTTTATAAACCAACGAGATTGTTTCCCTTGGTTTGTAAACCACCAACTGTTCTCCATCCTTCTGTTCTTCTTTAGTTAGTATAACTTCGTCCACATGATGGAATGATTTTTTTCTTTTTGTCTCAATTAAGTTATAATTAAGTATTTTCTTCTCCCTGTATTTCGGTAGCACTGATTGTACTATATCTGATTTGACAACTCCTTTATTGCTTGTTGCCATTGTTTTAGTCCACATACTAGTTTCTTGTCTACCTAAAAAATAAATTAATCGTTATTATTTATACTATTATAATAAAGTGTAAACACACACTTCTTTGTTGCCTAAGATGTCAGCAATTACAGAATATTTTAGAATAATTATTTTTTTAATAAAAAGCCCTACACTTACGTCATGCTTTAGGCTATATATTTTCACACCATTAAACTTCAGGTATAATCTTCCAGTGATGGAACCAAATAGTTTCAGACTAGTTGGGGGTCCAAATTCAGGGTCACATTGCACCCTGGCCTGAACCACCGGAAGATTTTATGTCAGTTAAGCCACCTTTTAACTCTTAATTTGATAGTGTGCAGTGTGATGAACAAAAAATTTTATAAAAATCAACTAGTTTGTAGAAAAATAAGAGTTTTTTGATTCTAGTGTGTTGGTAACATACAATATGCTATAAAAAACTCTGTCACATTACAGGTTAATTGTATCTGATAATGTCTCACAAAATGTTCAAACAGTTTAAATCTGTCCATTATATTTTATATTAGAGGAAGTTTGAGAGTAGCCCCAGTGGTTGAGAAAATAAGGAGTAAGTGGTATGGGCATGTTATGAGAAGGGATGAATTGCATTTAACAAGATGGATGTTAATTATGAATTTGGAGGTACACCGGTAGAGGAAGACCTAGAAAGAGATGGACGGATTGCGTGAAAGGTGACATGATCAAAAAGGGAGTGATGACTGAGATGACGTATGATAGAATGCTTTGGAGGACGAAAACCCGGTGCGCCGACACTACGGGAGTGTGATAAGGCAGGAGAGATGATGATATTTTATATAAGAAATCAAAGTTGTAATTTACCTGTAAACTTATTGAACATATTCTTTAGCACTATAGTTCGTTTGGATGACACCGTCTCTCCGTTATCAGCTCTTAGCGAATTGTCGCTCTTCTTAAAGTGTTCTAAACATAAATTGTTCCATATTTTCAACTTTGTCGTATCACCGTCGTCCTTTTTTACTGCACGCACTGGCATACACAGTGGATCGTCGTAATCAGGAATACGAATGTCTAACTGGCTTCTAGGTATTTCTTCAGTCTTTATTTGTGATTTTCTAACCTTTCTAGGTCCATATTCTTTAACTTTATATTTAAGCGGAGTAGATTGTGCGAAATGCTCGTACTTTTGAGATTTCATTGTACGAGGTAGTTTAGGGGTTTTACGCTTCTTGTATTTCGATGGAATGTCTTTTGAGGGTTCGTAATCAGAATCTTCCTCCATTTTCCGCTTTTTTCTTGGTTTATCAACGGGACTTCGTTCTACAAGAAATGGAATTGGAGCTTTGAGAGGCGGTGGGTCTTCAACAGTATGAACACATTGTTGAACTATTTCTGCATCCTCATCTAGGAATTCGATATCACCGTCATCTTCAGCCATGTCTTGCACTGAACGTATTGTTTGTAAAACTTGATTTTCCTGTAATTAAAGGGAAAATTACTTGTTTTTACCGCTTAAGGTTATATTTTCTTGGTGACAATTGGTAACAACGACCAACGACAGCTGTTAAAAGTTTAGTAGATATGACTACAGATTCATTATTTCAAAGACACAAGATTTTTCACTTTTTTGTCTTATTTAAAACTATATTATTTCACTTTTGACTGTTTATTTTAATTTTCCATTTGAACACTTTTTAAGATTGTAGAGGACGCCAAAATCTTTTTTGAAAAAGAATCGATCACAACAAAGTCTAGTCTCGCTTACACTCATGAAACTTGTCATAAGTTTGTCTCACTTGCTTCAAGGTAATTTTGTATGATATGTCTTCTCTGTCTCTGTATGCTCTGCTGAAAAGGAAGCCAAACGAAATCGATTACTCTTTGACTTTGACTCTATGGAAAACGCATAAAATCAATACAATATGTCGGACAAGTTAGTGTTCTGTTAAATATTTATTTCAATATTGATAAGCTGTGAAATTAATTACTTTTATTTTACTTTACGTACTGCCATTGTTTATACTAAACTTAATGTAATAACTTATACATGTATCACAGACGCGAACTATATTTTCACAATCGCGTTACTTGGTCTTCCATGTGTTTGATATAAGTTTCATTTTCAGTGAAGATTTATTAGGTGAAGATCTTGGTGATCACAGTCTTGCAGACTACAACTTAGGTAATGAAGAGGAGGAAGAGCTTTTGGCCGACGATTACGACCATAGTACGTCACAAAATGTTCCGACATCGGCCGCCACGGCGTATGGAGAAAGGCTCGATATACAATCTGCTTATGCTTCCAATCATAGTATAGAATATACACAAGTATGTTTTTTTGTTAATACATTTTGATATTAATACGTAAAAGCCAAATGAAAATCTAAATCTAATAAAAATACCATTAATATTATTTAGTGCTTTTGTAGTATTTTTATTTTAGATTTTGTAATGTAAATGTTGTTACAAAAGTAGTAATTTCCAGCAGCCGGCTTCATATCCAGTGATTAGCGAAAGTGAATGTGTTGTGCCCAACATAACAGAAGTACCGGACCCCAGACTTCCAGAACATTCCACATATGCTCCATACCCTGAACCTCGGGCATATGAATTAGAACATGCTGTACCACCTCCCATTGTAAGTATAATACAGAAAACATACAAATAGTTGCCCAATTTTTATATTTTTCGACACCCTTGTCAAAATTGTTTTAATTTGGGTCAATCGTGGATGCACTATGACAAAAACAGAAATAGGTTTACTTCAAGAAATGCTACATCTTCTATATTAAGGAATGTACCAAATTTGATTGGCATTCTATGACATCTATACTATTATAATAAAGCATAAACACACACTTCTTTGTTGCTTAATATGTCAGCAATTAAGGTATGTTTTTGAATAATGCATTTTTTAATAAAAAGCCCTACACTTATGTTATGCTTTATGCTATATATTTTCACGTCATTAAACCCCCTAAGGTAAATATTTTGGGACAAAAACCCTAATGTGGGAAAAAGACCATAATTTGCTGCCAACATCAAGAAAAACAGATTGCTAAGGTTCGTCATGTCATGTCATTTTGACATTTGCTATTAATAATTTGACAAATGTAAACAATAAAATAAAATTTTCATAATTTCATGCGGATGAAGCAGCACAAAACACCTAGTAAATTATAAAATAAAAGCACATTGAAATAAAAAAAAACTTGTAAATTTCAAGTTCCAATATAATCTGTTGACCTGTTTTGAATGTAATTTTCAACTATACAATTTTACTTATATAAAAGCTACATTTTTCAATTTGTTACAGCCAGCGGCACCAATTGAATCCCCTCAGATTGTGCCATCTGAAGTACCAACAAGTATTGGTAAGTAGAACCAAATATTATATCCTCTTTATGTGCATCTCTGTCTATTAAGTGTAGGCAATATGTCTGCTACCATCTCTATGGGTAGCGGTTGCTTCACCATTCTGGAAGTTTCAGCTGGTTTTACTTGTTTGCCACCTTATAAAGTTAAAAGAATATATACAGCCCTATATCACTGTTTCACTTGTACATTCCAGATATACCTATCTTGGTATTCTCTCTCTACATATTCTTAAATCTTCTTTATTATCTTTTTTAGGTGGTGACCTTTCTCGAGAACGGTTTACAACAGAGCGACCTCCGGGAGTACAGAGAACTCCCCAAGTCAGGGATATACCTGACACCTTAGGTAATACATTTTGCCATAACAACCTTACAAATAAATGCGGTATAAAGTTAAACTTACAAATAAACTCAGTAAAAGCAAATATTACTGCATTTTTGTTTAAGACAATGTTTCTACAATCAAAACACAGTAAAAACACATTTATATGTAATCGCAAATGTCGAAATAAACACTTATCTAAGAAAATACTATATTAGCAAAATGTTAAAAATTTAAAGGACTTAAACATATTAAATCTACATCTTTCTAAAATATATAATTTTGTACAGACAAAGTGGTAGTACCGCGGGGAGGTTTCGGCGCGCGAGGGCGCAACTCGTGGCGCAACCCCCACTACCGCGCTCCTCACCCCTACCGCAGGAACAACACGCATAGGGTAAGTTTCTAGCATTAATATTACTTACTAGCTGTTCATTGCGACTTCGTCCGCGTTAAATTTATATTACAGATAAATTACCTTCCTAATGGTGAAAGAATTTTTAAAATCGGCCCAGTTGCTTTGGGCCATTTCGATACATACAAGAATCCAAATCTTGCCTCTTTATGATATTAGCATAGATTGAATAAAAAAATTACTACTACTAAGTAATATTTTTAACCAAATCTACATTTAAAATTATATTCTAATGATTTAAAAAAAAACACTTTGGGAAAGAAAATGAATTAAATGACAAATTATTTCAGTTATTTAGGTTTAAGGAGTTAAGTGAAAGGTTATTTTACATAAAAAAATACAAATATTTTCTCTTTATAATATTAGTACAGATACACTATCACTGATTCCTACCTATGTATCTCTATTTCAGAATAATTACGTAGCAAGACCTACTTTACCTCCACCAGTGGCAGTGTGGGCAAACCAACCCAAACCAATCACACCTAATGTACCAGAAATACGTCCCGAAATACCGAAAATTGTACCAGAAGTTGCCCCAGAAACATTATTACCTCCGGAACCGTTACGACCAGTTGAAAACCGTTTCCCAATATTCAACCAATTCAGACCGAACGAACCGAGACCGTTCCCCAGACCGGCGTTTGAACCCAGACCGGGCTTCCAGTATCCGAGTTACCCCAGGTTCCCAGTCCGGGAGATAGCTCCCGGTGTGTCCCACATCCCACAAGTGACGATACACCAGCATCCATTACCTGGAGCTATGAAGCTGGGTCGGGAACCTGAAGTGAGGATGCTTCCGATGCAACTGACACATAATATACCTCCCGGAGGACTTGCCGGCAAGAAAGTGTTGATAAATCCACATTTCAAAGGAAACTTCCAGCCTCCTGTTGAAGGTGAGTTAAAAATACTTGAGTTTAGGCTTAATTTTAATCCCTTTCCACCATTTTTTTTTATAAAGAAGGGTTGGGAAAGGACAAAGATGTTCAAGAAATGTATAGAGTAGACAGGGAACATTTTTTCACTGGTAACTTTTTTTTTACGGTAATATCTCAATGTCAAATTTGATGCGCCGAAATATTTCTCGTCTCAATGTTAAGATTATTTATTGTCTTAGTTGTGTGAAAAAAAAATCAAGTGAAGTGTCAACTATCCTTGTTCTATATATTTTTTTAAGTCTCTTGAAGGGGAGCATAGATTTGATGAAGGCGACGAATAGGAAGGGGAAATAACCTCTTTGTGTGTCTCTGTCAATCAAGGGTAGGCAACCCGTCTACAATTGCATATGTCTATGGGCAGATTTTTTTTGTAAATAAAAAATGTGTAAATTTGAACTGAGATGAAGACTGATTAATTTTAATAAGGAACACTTTTAGCAATTACTTTACTAAAATTGGGAAGGGAAAAATTTAAAAACTAACAAATTTTAAATATAAATAGAAAATAAAACTAGTGTTGGGAGCTTGTCTAATGTATAGGACTTTACTGTATATAAGATGTAAATATATATAACTAGCTTTCGCACGCGTCTCCGCGTGATTTAAACAGTTCGTAGTCCATGTGTTCTTCCAGACTATCCTCTACATCTGTACCAAATTTCATTGAAATCCATTCAGCTGTTTATGCTACAAACTAACAAACATCCATCTAAACTTCGGCATTTATATTAGTACGATTGTCGTAGGGCTCCCCGCGTACATACCGACACGGATACATAAGAGCCCGCCGCTGAGCCCCACACGGGAACATAAATTCGGTAAATTTCACCCTAAGTTACATCCTAACTTGTACATAAGTTCTTTGCTATGTTACACTAACACTTAGTTGGTTTTAAGCACTATATAGAAAGGTTTTATTAAATTTATTTTATTTGAATTGATAATTCTAGTAATGCATGCTTTTTTTAACAATCAAAGGCAAAAAATATATTAGTTCTAAAACTTTTAGATATGTATGCTTGCATGTATTATGTATTTACAGTAGAACCTCGATAACTCAAACCTCTATAAAAAATAATATGTTCCCTTCCCATCAGAGCCCAAAACCTCTACAACATAGACCCTTGATAACTTAACCTCTATAACTTAAAGTCTTTTGTGTTTGATTAAATGTAAACTAGTACCATTGATAAATTCTTCTTTTTTTAATGATAAAATACACAAACTATTCACATAAATTGATAAAAAGGCATTTAATACAAATAAAATGTTGTTACATCGCTCACGTCACATTTTTCACTACTTTCGAATTACGTACTTTAATTACAAAAATATTTTCTATGGCTTTCTTGGCAGCCAGTATGATATTTATTACTTATTGCTTGACCAGTGTTTCCCTTGCACTTTAACTTATCGAGGTTCCACTGTATTTTGTTTTCTAATCCCCTACTGCTATACTCAGGGTTATTTAGTAATTAATATTACTAGTCTTAGTAAATACTTACTAAAATGTCTATGCTTGATCTAAATTGATAGACAACTCTTAACTATGACAGTTATATTATTGCACTGCTTCTGTGTTTACACGTTTTTGTAGTTAGTATTTACCTATTGTAATATCTCCTTATAATATACTAGCTTTCGCCCGCGGCTCTGCGTGAACTTAAGAAAATGCACCAAAAAAATACTCACTACATATATTTTTAATGGTGAAAAATTTTTAAATCGTTCCAGTAGTGTTTGAATTATTCCGATACACATCCAAATCTCTCCTCTTTATAATATTAGTATAGATGTATAGCGTAAAGTATATATATGTAAATATGTGTACAGGTCCTATCAAAGACATAGACGACGCCGCGGAGAGGTTCATAGCGGAGCAGCGCAATGCCCTCGCGCGCGCCGCCGCCAGGAAGATACCGAGGAGATCTCCGCAGAGGTATTTATACACTAAACACACCTATTTATCAAATATTTTATACTTTTATATGCTTATAACACTCAGGTTTAATGAAGCATTCTAATTTTAAAAGAATTTTTAAATTCAGTTCAGTAGGTTTTTAATTTATTTGTTACAAACATTATATTTTGTGTGCTTTGTAATGGTAGTTTACATGTTGATGTAAAAAGTAAGGGGAGGAGGGTACTCCCTCCTCTTATTCTATAGAGGCATTTATTTTTAAATAAATTTATAAATTAACTAGCTTTCTCCCGCAACTTTGTCCGCGTGGACCTAATAAAAAATCAAGTGGCTACTTGTGTGACTGTGGCTACAGTTCTTCTAGACTATCCTCTTCATTTATGCCAAAATTCACTAAGATCTATTTAGCAGTGTAAGCTACAGACACTAACAAACATCCATCCATCCAATTAGCCAAACTTTCTCATTCATATTGGTAAGATTTTAAAATACTGTGGTTACAATTCCTAGAGACCCGTGTTTGTAATTGGATTTTTTTATAAAATCATTGTTAATCTGTTTCGAATAAAAATACTTTTTACTACTCTTCCCCCTTATCATCGGCTGGCGACACCTATTATTGTGTTTAGCAAATTTTTAATATGTTTAAATAATAATATGTAATTATTGCATTAATTCAGGTACATAGAGAACACTACGATAGAGATAGAGAACGAGTTGGCCCGTCGCGCGCGCGGCAGAGAGGATGAGGAGCTGCTGCGCCGCCAGGAGGAGTTCATCAACGCCAACAGGGCGGGGCTGCGCAGGCGGTGAGCATCATACATCATCACCATCATCACATGCATCACAATCATTATCACTATCACATGCATCACAATCATCATCACTATCACATGCAACACTGTCATCACATGCATTTTTATATTATAAGGTGGCAAACGATCAAGTTGCCGCCTGTAACCGTTGCCCATACATTTGCAACTGCAGATACGTTGCCTTTCTTTCAATGACGGAGGAGGAGACGCACTTAAAGAAGATATTTCCTCTTCCTATGCGTCTTCTCCACCGTCAAATCTACTTTTCCTTCCCATCCCTCCTTATAATGGTGGATATAGGAAAATGAGGCCTCTGCCACATTATTAGACTAGGCGGAATTGCTTCCACTTCACGTTTGTATTTAGTGTGGTCGTGGACCTAGAATTCGAACCCAGGACTACACAGTTTTATAATTTTATGATAAGTTCTTGCAAAGGTTATTTATTACTTAAAAAAAAGTATGTTGAAGTATTGAAAAACAGAAAATATTAAGAAACTAGCTGTTTTTTATTTTATTGTTTACATTTGTCAAGTTATCAATAGCAAATGCCAAAATGACATGACATGACAAACCTTGGCAATCTTGTTTCCTTGATGTTGGCAGCAACTTACGGTCTCTTTCCCACATTTGGGTTTTTATATTTAGTATTTACCTCTAAGTTTAATGGCGTGAAAATATCTAGCCTAAAGCCTGACGTAAGTGTGATGAAGCTTTTTATTAAAAAAGGAATTAATCAAAAATATGGTGTAATTGCTGACATCTTAGGCAACAAAGTGTGTGTTTACGCTTTATTATAATAGATGTAAGCGATGCTCCAAGTAGCCAATGTGTTAATAAATTTTCAATATATATCTGTTTGTTGCAGTATGCGGTCCCCCAGCCCCT